AGCTAAAAATAAAAGATGTGGTCTTGACTTTGCAAAACCCCGGGAAATTGCCATGTTTTTGGACTTTTCCGAGTGGAAAAGCAGAGGAATCGAGAAAAGTCGCAGAGGAAAAGTGTGGTAGACTCCTTACTCCTCACGAGTTATAAAGTATGTGGTAATCAACTTTCCGGGGGAGGGGGGGGAGTCGAGTCGAGTTATATATAAAAAAGTTAGTATTTTCGTAGATTTCAGTACCTAAAACCTTGATGGATTGATCGTTTTTTGCACCTGTTTATTCGTTTTACCTGTTTATTCGTTTTACTGCGGCGTCTTTGGAAATACTCAGGTAGCATGACATAACATTCCTATTATTTGATAAGCTTTAGATTATTCAATTATTAAATGTTTGAAATAATTTGTCTTTGTGAAAAACACTATTTAAAGAATACGGCGCCCTTAAATGATGGTAATATGGAGCTCGGTTGGGTAACTTTAGATAGAGATATTATATGAGTAATTATATTCCTCAAAATTCTTAAGTATGTCTATCTTAACTGATACCGAGATGTCTAATATACACAACTAAATCCAAAAGGAAAAAGCTACGGGAACAGTAGTAGATATAAAAGGTAGATATGAAGCCATATTACAATTTTTCCTCACAAATTTGGAATGTTGCATTAATATTACAGTGATAAACAACCGATCAATATCTATGTAGGAAGAGATGATACCAGAAAAAGTGAAAGATAGGCCTAATATTAAACAAATATGGGAGTTTCGGCTTTTATTAATCTTCGGGCACTGAATTTATATTCGATTTACGGAATGACAGTTCGATAACTTTTACTAAATCATTTACTTTAGCTAGACGTACAACATTAATTACAATTTGCGATGAAAAACTTATTAAAATTTCACGTTAAGCAAAGTCAATATGGAACTCCGAACACACCGACTGCGGTTGGGTAACTTTCAAACTACTCCCACGACTAAGGAGCTTAAGGGTGCGACCGTGTTCCTTGTGCTTTTCTTAGAAGCTAACTAATGCTTGGTTAACTAAATAAACATACAAGAACAACGAAGGTGGACTAGCTGCCTTTTAAAGGTTGCACTGTACTTTCCTAGACACCAGAGTGGTTGTTTGGAATGCTTGGTCGTTGCTATTTTGGTTTTGGTCATTTTACATAGTTTTTCAACTTTTTTCAGAAATTTTCATCGTAATTTGAAGTTTCGTTTCATTTTAATATCAAAACGGTTTCTTTTCATTTAGTATTATAGTGAATTTAATACGAAATGTTTGTGTCGCGTGTCATTTATAATAATTGAGTATGCCACTTTAACTTATATTATTAATTTTTTTATTTTAGTTTTTTCCTTCAATTTTTTTTTATTTATGTAACAAAGTACCTGCATGTTTAAAGTCATACTAAGCTTTGAGTCACTAGTAATAGTTAAGAAAAGTGATTCAATCTAGGCAAAGAACAACATTTAGTTCTTGCTTACTGAGAATGCAAAGTCGATAGATTTTAAGAGTTTAATTGACAATAAAATAACTAATTAAACTGGCTTCATTAACTCAAATAAATCCACTGCCAAGTCTTTATTTTTCAAATTTAGGATAACTATAAATTTCTCATAAATAATGAGAAAATAACTTGAAATTTTAGTCATAACAAAAAAAAGTCTTCTCCATTATGCAGTCTAGTATTAACAACTATAGATGCATATCACGAACAAACTACATCAACTTTATCTAGACTGCAACTATTTCTTCTTTTAATATAATGTCAATGATGCAGTCGAAAAGAAGGAAAAAATGTCATACTTGCTAAACAATTCTGCTTCTGTTCAAATCTAGAAAAATTTAGTTGTAACTGGGTATTCCCTGTTAAGAAGTTAATAGAAATATAGTAGTTGATTTTATTTAGCCACTGGTATCGATGACAAAACATTTTTGTTCGTAAATTTGTCATTTTTAAGGGATAGCTTCATAGATCAAGCAAGTAGTTAAACAAATATTCTACAACGTATTTTTATTTCTGAAAAATCAAGTAGGCCTTGTGAGGAACAAACAAATATTTTCTGTCTAGAAGTTCGTTCAATATATCCAAAAACTTAATTAAGAACTTTTTATTTTCATATTCCAAATTTGGAAGCAATTGGCCTACTTTAATCGTTTAATTTTTTCATGCTGTATAGGTAAAGCCCCATTTTTGTAAGAAATTGAAAAAAAAACTTGTTAGTTCGTTAGAAGTAACATTTATCTAAATGTCCCAAATTTGGCGAAAATCGGTTATTGTTTTATAATTCAATGATTAGGATTTATCATATCAAAAAATATCAAATGAGATCGACTATCTTCAAACTTGTGTAGGTATGGACATCAATTTTAATTATGAATAACTTTATCAAAACAATCTGATGATTGATATCTGATGTGAAAAAATACTCGGAAAATAAACTATTTCTTCTTGACGACGGCCTACTTAATTTTTCAGAAATAGAAAATGCAACAACTTACTTTGCGATCTTGTTTCCCAAAATGTCTACATTTCAGTTAAAACACTTTTTGTCATTTATAGCTACGGTTAAGTAAGTAGTATTTTTTAATAAGAGTGACTCTTTTCATAAAATGAGAAAAAGTTTTCCCTGTTTTCAGTTCCATCTGTGGGACACACTGTCCACAAAAATTAAAAAAAGGAAAAAATTAGGTTTTTCTTGGGAAAATGCTCCATGAACCCATTTTATTTCGGCTAAAATGTACTTACTACATTTAATAATTTCTGGAAAATAGAAGTTCTTCTCGGGTGAAATTTTACATTTATTTATTAAAGATGTGAAACTGTTATTCAAATTTGTATTAAGGGAAATTTTGTTTCGAATAGAGCTCCACCAAAATGGTAGGTATGTGTTGAAAATATTGACGACAATGTCATCGACTTTGGTAGATGTTTCCGACAAATATTTGTAAAGAAATGTTTACCAGATCTCCTTAAAGTAACAATGTTTGCTTTTCGTACTCCACAATTACAAATCACTAAAGCAAAAAAAAAACTGCTTTTATAATGGAGACAGTGCAAATGATGTCTTCTTGGCAACATAATTTTTTGATGAACTGGCAACTGTCGATAGTCCGCTTTTATACCTACTAATATGTTTGTATTATACATCATTGAATCAATATCGACAATATTTGCCTCCATATTCCATTATATTCGCATATTTTTCCGATATAGTGTAGAGGATCATCCCTATATCAATAATATAGGGAAACAAATGGAAATACTTACTAGTTAATCCCATCGTAGCCAGCGCCCAGGCCCACACTATCTACGCCAGCCACTTCCCTTATATGATTTATGTGGGCTAAACAAAAACCGTACAAATTAATTCCACAAGCAAAAAACACACAACAGCTAGCCATAACATAGAGGGAGCTTAGATACAATAATGATAATAGCAGCATCAGGGATTCGTACAAAAACAGACGTTGTATTGGTCTTTTTATTGGTTTAAAATATCGTTGGTTGGATCATTTACTGGTGAGCAGTTGAATTTGTTCAAATGAAACTTGGTAGGTATTGAAATATCTATATGGATATGGATTTACAACAACATAATAATTACTTAGGTATACATCATCATTCAGATATAGTCTTTTTCTAATAACTTAGCAAAATCTGTACAGGGTGGCTTGTTTGGTTTGTCACTACATCAGTTAATCTGTTTAGTTCTTATCTATCGGACAGAAAATATTATGCTGCGTTCAATAGCTTTAGATCACATGAATACGTTGCCTCCTCTGGGGTGCTTCAAGGGGGCAACTTAGGACTCCTACTATTTTATATATTCATTATTGGATGATATAGGGGATGTTATTGATGTTGGATAAATCCGTAAATGACTGCGTTCATCTATTTAATAACTTGAAACGAATTGAATGGTGTTATGCAAATCGTCTCCATTTAAATCTGTATAAAAGTTTTATTGCCTGAAGAACATGCTAAATGATTTCATTCTTCAAACACCGGATACTTTTACTGATTTTGAAGCAATTTTTGACAGTCGTCTTACATTCAATGAACACCTTTATTACTAAATTCATTAGGGACCTATCGCATACATAATCTTGAAGCTAATATACATAGTATAATTGTCAGATCAAATTTAGAGTACGCATCTATCGTTTGGAGACCCCATCATCAAATACAATCAGACAAGCTAGAACATGTATTAAAGCTTTTTCTACAACTTTTATCTTTAAAAGCTGATGGTGTTTATCTTGAAATTGGCATATTGCATGAATTTCTTCTTGAAATACATAAGTAATATTTTAGATAGTCGTAGGCATTGCCATTCTGTGTTGTTACTGCATAAATAATGCATAGTATGGTTGATGACCCAGACATTTTACAAAAGTATGGTATTAATGTTCTTAGATCTGTTTTGAGGTAGATGTGAGAGGGGGGAAGCAATTTTTTNGTTTGCATCTGTGAATTTTTGCTTAAAAATCAAAATATCTCGGAAACGATCAATTCTAAGTATGAAGTGTGCTATATATTATCAACTAGATGCAATAATATACAGGGGGTTAAATTTAAAATAAGAAAGTTAGTATCGACTTCCGGTATAACCGGAAGTACGATGATCTTGAACATATTTTAGCTTGGTAGGCCCCACGGCCCATATTACACCATCACAATTTCAAAAAAATTTTTCGAGCGGTTTCCCAGATATCCATCGATGGAATTTGTGGTGGGACACACTGTATAATTTTCGTAGAATTTTGAGGCTCTGAATACGATGCCATTACTAAAATTTACCCATGACCTCGATATTTCTCAGAAAATCCAATATTTGGGTGAAAATGGCCCAAATTTGGGTAAAAACTGATTTTTTCCTAAATTTTGACATATATTGTAGTACACATTTTGGCCCGTTTTCACCCAAATAGTGGATTTTCTGAGAAATATAGAGATCATGGGTAAAACTAATCGCTTCATGTTCAGCTCCTCAAAATACTACGAAAATCATATATTTGTACAAATTTAGAAAAAAATAAGTTTTGACTCGTATTTGGGCCAGTTTTCACCCAAAAATTTCACTTTTTTCCGAAATTCATTGGTAAGTCATGAATTTTGACCTTAGGATCGTGTTCAGTGCGTCGATTTCCTTCGGAAATAATATGTAGGTTTTGGGTTTGGACTTTTTTTATGTGCCTGTGTTATCAACTATGTCTTAAGAAAAACGTGCAAATCAATTTATTCTCCATTATAATTTTAAAGTACTCGGAAAGCTCCCCCTCCCCCATTTTTCATGTTTTGAGTCACTTTTCGCGCGACAGCTTTTCCGCTAATTTATCTATGTTGCCGATAACTTATGGATATGAAAATTTTTTCCAGCTTCGAACTCTGAAAAACAAAGCTACTGGATCAAAGATTATTGCTAAATTGTTTATAAATTAACGGTAAATGACCTTTGACCGTTTATATCTCGAAAGCCAATAAACGGAATTTAACTTTTTTTTAAGAAGCGTCTTCCCATCAGTACTTTAAAATTATAATTTTTGAAAAAATCTAAATTGCAAATTGATAAATGTAATGTAATTGTTTAAAAATAAAAAAGAGTGTTAAATTTAAAAATTTACTGTGGCTGTCCTAATCAACCGATTTCAATTTTTCAAAAACCATTTGAAAGGTAGAGCGGTCTTATCTGTGTGAAAAAATGTTCATGTATCTAGATGCTTTATTTGAGGCTGTGCAACATTTTGAAAATTCGAACAATTAAAAAAAAAAAATTTGCGAAAACTATAGAACCGATTTTAATGAAATTTGGTGTGTTGTTTAATTATACTCTAAAAAGTTTTTTTTACCAAAATTAGAATGCCCTCGGAGCAATTAAAATATTTTTAAAAAATTATCCAAAAAACTTTTTTCTTTCTTCAATTATTGCTATTTTGCAACATCGGTAATAATTTTAAACATTTTTAACTTACAAGTATATTGTGCAAAATTCAATTCTAACACTTTTTTCCTGTTCAATATTCTTCCAAAATCAATAGGTTCCATGATATAAGTAAAAAACTCAGATAAAATTGGTATTTTTAAAATTTTTTAAACATTTTTTCAATTTTGGAACTGTTCCGGACCTCGCCTAGATCTAGGGATCTACACTACTTGTATTATGAAAGTTGTACTGAAGGTAATCCAGCAAAAATTAGCTTGCCCCCTCTTACATCGAAAAAGTGGGATATTTCGAAAGATCCGCCCTGGTCTATTTATCTAGATGTTAATTAAAACTCTTGCTTATCGATGTTGCATAATTATAACTCACGAAGTAAGGATGAACCTACAACTTTTTTAGATTTGTAAGTTTTTCTTTCTATTTTCCTCAAATTTTGTAAAAGTTAGCGTCGAATTAGTCATGAATACAAACAGTCAACTTAAAAATTTAAATTCAGTTTCAAGCGATGTCCCGAAATGTATTTTCTTATTCCATTTTTACGACAGTTAGAAACAACCCTGTTACCTGGCGCATTCGCGGTTCACAAACAACATTCTAAGCGATTCCCAGAAACTTTCCCGCCAAGATGAAAAATACACTGATGTCTCTTGGCCCGCGGCCAGAGGACATGTAAAAATTCAGCGTCGTGATAACGTCTCGGTTGTTTGTGCACCTCGAAAACAAAACTCGCTTTAAAATTTTATCAGAAACATACTAGAGGAGAAACTTTGTAAATTATTCTTCACTCCATCCAGACTATTGTTCATCCCACATATCTCCTAGATAGAAATAAATTCGGTTCCCTTGGACCACTGGTGATTTCGGATTAGAGACGTGACCGAATGTCTGGTGTAAGTTTATTAGGATATACTGTTACGGATGTGGATTGTTTTCCCGTTTTATTTGATTTGTTCTCCCCGGGAATACTAGAGAATAGAATTCGGCCAATCCCTTATTTGCGGAACCGGCCTTATATTTTTATTAAAATATTTACTTAAGCAGGTTGGTTTTTTTTTTATGAACACTCGACAATTTGTTTTAGATGTCGCCTATGTGTAATGTCAAATTTTCCTCGTGTATTCCGTAATTCTAAAGGCAAATACATTTTTCTTCTATTTATCAAAGGAGTAGGGCATAACTGATGCCCTAGACAAGCAACGCCAGAATTAGTTAAAAATTCTTATTTGTTATGCCAATGTTGTTGTTCATACTCTGATAGTTTTCAAAATTATTGAGAAATTTCAAAATAAAATTCAAACATTTGCAAAGGCATATTTGGTATAATCGATTTATTTTGGCCACCAGTATCGCCAGCTTCGAGATTTCTCAACCTTTCCAAAACCAAAAAAGTTTTGTTTAACTAAATTTAACAAGCTTTTAATACTTAAAAGGCACCTTATAGGCTATAGATCAGGAGTCGGCAAGTAATTTTAGGTGCGGTCCGGATACTTTTGAAAATTTTTAACGAGGTCCAGAAAAAAATTCATATTTCTTATTTTTTTAATTTTAATTTGGACTCAAATTTAATCTGCTTACTAATTAAGAACTCAAAACACTCACACAATTGTAAAATACTAGAAAAAATGATAAGATTGGCACTTAAACGTAAAAAAAACATTTTTTAAATAATTTATTTGAGTAATTTATACTTTCAAAAAATTTTTGGCGGTCCAGTATTTTACCTTCCGCGGTCCGGACCTGGACCGCGGTCCGCTAGTTGCCGACCCTTGCTATAGATTATGTCTTAAAAAGCAGGGCACTAAGGAACTACAACGTTGATGGGTTTTTATTGCATGAATCGTTCAAATAGTTATTCAGAAAGAAAAAACCGCGGAGTGCTATTAAATTATAGGGTGGAAATTGGAGATAGGGGTGCAAATGCAACCCTTATAGTTTTTTGAGTATATCTCGAAAACGAAGCAAAATTTGAGGGTATTGCATAGGAAAAATTTTGTGGATAATGAGAATTTCTATCGAAATAGCTTATATTTAAAAAATAAAAAATATATATTTACTGCAAAATATATTAAAAACAATTTAACAAAAAAATGCAAAAAATTAATTTTTTTGTTATTTTTAACTTTTATTCAAATAACGTTTTTCTGAGCAGAGATAGACATAGGTATCGGTATAGGTTTTCATAGAAAAAAAAATCCTTCAAAACAAGAGGTTGTAGAGTATTTTTGGATGAAAACTGACTGATATATGATCGCTCAAACTTGGTCAATTTTTCGATTTTCTTCGCGTTTACCCTTATACGTTTTAATTCTCATTTTTTGCTAAAAAAGGAAGGAATAAGACGTTCAAGGGTCATTAAAAATGAAAAAACTGCGAGGTGCTATTAAATTAGAGGGTTGAAATTGAAGATAGGTGTGAAAGAGCACTTTTGCAGTTATTTAAATATAGCACGAAAACGAAGCAAAATTTCGGTATAGTTCATAGGAAAAATTTTGTACAGAATTGAATTTCTCATTGAAATGGCTTATTTAAAAAATGTAAAAGGACAATTTTATGCAAAAAATCGTTAATAAACAATTTTAAAGAAAGTAAAAATAAGATTTTTTGTTTTTTTATAAACTTGAGAATTTACAATAAAGTTTATTAATAATGTATGTGTGTCCACGAATGGAGTTGACAACAGGAGAAACTCTTTTGTTTTGACTTTATCGAAAAATGTCACTTTATAAAAAGTTCTGCCCCTCGCAAAAATGAGATACAAACATCATAGATTAGATATACAGCGTGCTCACAAATTAAAAAAACACGAAAATACTCAAGAGAGAAGTACCATTATTTATTATTTTACACAACATTTTTATAAAATAAATCTATTTATAACCTCAAATAATGTTCTAATACAAATTTTAAAATAAAAATTTCGATTCTGACTTTTACTCTATATGTATAGCTCTTCTCACCTCAAAAATTAAAATTAGTTTAATCGAAAAATACTCTACAACCTCTTGTTTTGAAGGAAATTTTATCTACTTTTTTTTTCAATGAAGTAATGCCTATATCTATTACTCAAAAAAAACTATAGCCAAAAAAGTAAAAAAGATCAGAAAATAGAATTTTTTGTTTTTTTTTCAAATTGTTTATTAACGATTATTTTGCATAAAATTCTCCTTTTAAATTTTTTAAATAATCTATTTCGATGGGAAATTCAATTCTCTACAAAATTTTTCCTATAAACTATACCGAAATTTTGCTTCGTTTTCGAGCTACAATAAAAAAACTGAAATGGGTGCATTTTCACCCCTATCTCCAATTTCCACCCTCTAATTTAATAGAACTCCGCGGTTTTTTCATTCTAAATAACCATTTGAACGATTCATGCAATAAAAACCCATCAACGTTGTAGTTCCATACCATATGACATAATCAATAACCTATTATGTTATTTTTTATACCCATAAAGAATATTGACGTAAATTTCATGCAGATGAGGCAACAACCAATGATTATATTATTAATTTAAAACTATTTGAGAAAAGAAATTGGTCTTGTTGGATATTTATAGTTATTTTCCTAATGGTTTTGATTTTTATGCAATAATGCAAGATTTAGACAAATATTCCATGTATTTTTATAACGGGTATATTTTAAATGACAAAAATAATCAAATTTTCTTCACAGACGGCTTTAAACAGTTTTATATACCTTTAGAATGTGATTTAGTTTGATTAATGTTTCTTGAAAGTTTCCAACCACTTTCACTTATTTAATTGGCTATTTTATAGTGGGCCACCCCGTACACAAAACGCCTCTCCCTAAACATTTAGCCAACGCCAAGAATTTGGGGCAGACCCTTTCAAGACCCAGTTCAATTATTAATCTCCCAGCCAATTTACGCGGGCACCACAACAAGGAGACTCACCCACAGCGTCTGCGATCGTGGAAACTTCCTTGCAAGTGAGGAACGGCGGGTAGAAGTTGACCATGATGACTCCTTTGTTGAGCGCCAGCTTCCTGAGGGTCTCGTCGGGCACGTTCCTCGTGGAATTGCACAGCGCGTGGGCGGATGAATGGCTGAAGATCACGGGTGCCTTGGACACCTCCATCGCGTCCCTCATGGTGTTGACGGACACGTGGGAGAGGTCCACGATCATGCCCAGGCGGTTCATTTCCTTAATGACGCTCTGAAAAAAAAAATGTCGACGCAATCAGCCTGCTGCGAGATAACTTTGGGGTAAAGTACATTCATAGCTTTAAGAGAAAGAGTGCCTGCGTCGACCTGAGTTCAGTTAACGACCATCATAAAATTTAGTTGTCAAGGGATGGTACAGTAAATGAGTTTATTGCCTGGGGACCATTTGACAAGTAAATTGTTTCTTATAATAATAAGTAGATGAGATTCTTACAAAACCATTAAACTTCGGCCTTAAACGCAATATCGATCGCTATAAATGCTAGTATTATAAATTTTATTGAAACTGCTGATTCTTACATATACATGGCGTTTCAGAAATACCTTCCGTAAATTCAGGGGGTGATAGTACGACAAAAAATAAGAATTTTTTGCCCCATGAACTATTTGTCTATCTCCTCTTGTTTTCGATATACAGAGCGACAAAATAGCATTTTTTAAATAGAATTTTTACGAAAATTTCTAAACGATGCGAAATATTTTTATGAAATTTGGTATTCCGGGGTTTTTAAGGACGCCAAATACGCTGGTCTAATTATTTTTTGTATATTTTATAGAAGGCGCTAGTTATGTTACATTCGTATTACATTTTAAATTCTAATTTTTTTGAGGTTAGGTTCTTTAGTATTCGGGCTCCAATTACTAATGTACAATTTAATTTTCTAAAAATAATGTACTCTTGTTAGAACTTCCTAATGTGGACGGTTTTCGAGAAAAAGGCTTTTAATTGAACTCTTACGATGATGTATAAAATAAGTGACTTTTCTCAAAGTAGGCTTATGTCAAAATTTATTCATGGATGTCTCATAAACAACGCATACATTCTCAGTAATATTTTAAACTTTAATTAATTTTATATCAAAACTTTAGTGTCTGTAATTAGTCATTACTAACTACAGTCACTAACGATCACTAAAATTTTGATATAAAGTTAATTAGAGTTTAAAGTATTACTGAAAATGTATGCGTTGTTTATGAGACATCCATCAATAAGTTTTGACATAAGCCTACTCTGAGAAAAGTCACTTATTTTCTTCACCGTAATATTGTAAGAGCCTTAAAAGCCTTTTTTCTCGAAAACTGTCCACATTAGGAAGTTCTAAAAAGAGTACATTATTTTTAGAAAATAAAATTGTACATTAGAAATTGGAGCCTGAATGGTAAAAACCTAACCTTAAAAAAATTAGAACCTAAAATGTAATAGGAAAGTAGCGTAACTAGCGCCCTCTATGAAATATCCAAAAAATAATCAGACCAGTGTATTTCGCGTCCCTAAAAATCTCGGAATACCAAATTTCATAAAAATATTTCGCACCGTTTGGAAATTTTCGTAAAAATTCTATTTAAAAAATTTTATTTTGTCGCTCTGTATCTCGAAAACAAGACAGACATATAGTTCATAATACAATTTTTTTTTATTTTTTGTTGTACTATCACCCCCGGGATTTACGGAAGGTCTTTCTGAAACACCTTGTATATTGCGAATATTATAGATGAATTTATTATTAATACAAGTAACGACACTAATATACTGTAAAAAAATCGATGTGAGTGAAATCAATAAAGGTACAGAGTAAATTCAGTGAGTAAAATGATTGAGTATATTTTCACTCAAGATTGAGCATTTTGATAATTTTACTCAATTGTGATAACTTTTTAACTAAAACTCAGTATTTTCACTCAAATATAGGTAACTGTGTAATCAATTCTGCAGATTTACTCGTATTTGGTGCACTTGTAGCTAAAAAATTACTCAATAATAGTTCAATTTAAATCACATTAGAGAAAAAATAACTTATTGATTGGTTTTAAATACTCAGAATATAGTAAAAAGTCACTCATTTGATAGTAAGCAGATACTCGGATTTGAGTAAAATTCACTCACGTCTGTTATAATAGTTTCACTCATAACATTTAGTGAAAATTTCACTCAATTGAGTGTGGACAGAAATTAATACATTATTGAGTAAAATTGTGTGAAGTTGAGTGAATTGTTTTTACAGAATCTCAATTGAATGAATATATTAATAATGACTATTTTATTAAAAAATATATTATAATGTATAAAAAATGTATTATTACCTATTTTGATTTCATTATTTAGTATTGTATTGATTTCTAAAATAACTTTAATTTTTTAATTGTAGATAACCTGTTTAGATCATCTGCTTCTTCTATGATGATCTGGGGGTAATTCCATTTAAGTAGGTAGTAATTCTCTTAGATCTATGAATGTTTCTACTTTTTATAAAAATACCACTTAATTTGTTGACTTTATAATCAAATTTTCAAATTGGATACATTTTGAGTACCTTATCTACCATTACAACATTTTGATGATCACTGGTTTCTCATATAAATATCACCTATTTGGGAGTGAGGCTATTTTCAGAAGTTAAGTAATTTGGCTGGCGGATATCATTCATAAATTAACTCGCTGTCCTTACTGATCTGTCTGCACTGTGAGATATAGCCATGTATTTTTTATTAGTTTCTATTGCGATTTATCATTATTATTATTATTACCTACTGGTTTGTAACAAACAAATGTATTTACATTTTATTATTTATATTTAAGACGGCAATGCCGCCATGTTAGTATAAGGCCCATTGCTGGGAGAGTTAGTATTGCCAATCAGGATATTAAATAACTCCGAGCAGGATACTTTTCCTGAATTTAAAATCATACAATTTTCATATTCAAAAATATATAGTATCTCAGGCTCAACTATAATTAACAGTGCAGGCCTTTATAATAGTCCTCCGAATTCTTTGAATTGGAGACTACGTTTTGACAGCCTTGGTTGGAGATCTTCCAAACACGGGTGCAACAGCTTTCAAGATCAAAAAATTGATCGCCAGTTACATATTTATCTTAGATATTGTAGTGTGGCACTATATTTTACAAAGACTCCGTTTGTATACTAAAATTAATGATTATTTCCAAATTAAAATATAAAATATTTAATTAATTGCAATAAGTAACTGTATCTAGTTTAATATTTCTAAGACATTTATATGAACATTTGGTTATAAAACGATCTGATCTTAGCGTTTTCCAGCTGGTGTTAATGGAACATTTTTTCTTACTTTTTTTGGCGGAATTTTCATTTAAAGATGCCCAGTCACATTGCAAGAAACAAATACTTCAGCTATCTAATCCATGCAAATGGCGGTCTTTGATTATTTCCTTTATACTTATTTCCTCTATTTTCATCCATTTTTCATGGTCATAAATTTTGTTCCATTGTAATGAAATTATTTGAAACGAAATATTTGATCTCATCTTTTGTTTTCCTTATTTATTTTTCTATTTTTGTTGTAGATGAATTTTTAAGGCAACAATTCAAGAATTATTTTTGAAAGGTTACAATATTTCCCTCTGTTTCTTTTAAATAAGTTCGGGCAATTCTCGTGGTGCTTACACACACGTGAAACAGATTCGAGAAATGCCTGCCGCTCCCTTTTACTGAGTTCTAAAAATGCAATAAAGTCAAATTGCTGCGCGAAGTATTTTTCACATTCTTATAGCTACCTACTGCCAGGTTAAATTAAATGAGTTAAGTTTAGATGGCCCTTATGGTTTATGACGCAAACTGTCAACGAAGAATTTTTGTGAGAGCTCTATTCCAGTGGCGTCCACTATTGTCTTACAAAGAAATATTCAAAATTTTAAAAATTATTTATGTATTACTAGGTAATTATTATTTACGTGCAAGCATGTTGTATCGAAAACGATGGAAATTTGTTTTGTAATATTGTTATGGAACATTATTAATATTACAATGTTAACATTGTTATTGTAACATAAACTGTTTTGTACAAATGAAAAATTACTACCTATTTCGTGAAATACTTAAATCTATGTGATATATGCTTTATGCAGCTAAATTTCAGTTCTGTCATGACCGATATGTATTTAAAAGAATTACCTAATAGTAGTAATTTTCATTAAAAGTAGCAAGAAATGGTGAAAATGAACTTGAATTATTATAGTGTTCTACAAGCTCCATGACAAAATTTGACAGATGATAGCTGAGTGAACTTCAAATATTTTTTCTTATATGAATATAAGTCCGATTCGTTTTTGTTTAGCATTTTTAGAAAATATAATTTTGTATCCTATTCAAAGTATTAATAAAAATGATGGTTGCTATAACAATAGTTATTATTTGTGTAATTTTGTTTATTCATCTGACACTTAGCGTTAAATGCTAAATAAAAAAAAGCATTTATTTACAACTGAAGAGTATGCAGATATTAACTTTGGTCTTTGGATATGGGTATTCCAATGGGAATGTGAGATAGTGCTAACACGAAACTGAGTTGTGGATGCATATCGAAAATGCCATAAATGTTTTAAAAAATAACCCTTAAGAACTGCAAAGGGTGTCCTTTAATTTTCTTTGCCAAATTTACCTTTGTTGTAGAAACAACGGTGGTCATTTTGAACAATTTTTATAAGTTGTACTAAATTTAATAACCTCAACTTTGTTATATTTATCTACAGCATTTTTTATTTTATTTCATTGTTTTTACTTATTATTTCAATAAAATTAGGCACGTTGTAGATAACTCTAATTCGTCGTATGTGTGTATCCATATCGAAAAATGAAGTAACATGTGGTATATTTTATCGTAGTAAACACTCATTTATATAATCGGCAGATACAATGACTTTACAAAATTACAATCAACCTATAAAATCGGTAACTTCTAGCACTTTGTTAGGTATTGTAATATGGGTGGCAAGATAATGTAGACATTTAAAAACTATTTTTTTGTACCCAAACCGCCCATTTAATCAAAATTCTAGAAGAGGCCCAAAAACTTCCAAACGGTATCACCTATCAAATAAAAAATAGGGCAAAAAGCTATGAACGGATATTATCGCCGTATATATATCAATTTTGTAGGAGTTGTGGGTTTTAAAAAACACTCTGTATAACATCAAAATTTGTATATTGAAAGCAAAACTCCACACCCCAAAAA